GTGACATTAATGTTCCATAAAGGAGGGATGGTCATCAGAGTTGCTCATAGCAAACGTGTTTGAAAAGGCCAAGGGACAGGACAGTTGTTTGCATAAAATGGGATAATTGTAAATACTGCATCCATGCACTAGTGATGGGCTGAACACCACCCTATTTGGTTCACGGTCGAACATTCGAATCTAACAAAAGTTTGATCGTGAACTTCGAACAGAGGGGACAGTTCACTAAGTGGTATCTTACTGCATCTGAGTATGAGGCAAGATACTGAACAGCTACTAAAAATATTCTTTAATGTTTCAGCTGTCAGTGGGGTTCCCCGTTGAATGTAAAAATAATAACCGGCATTGCCTGGCAATTGAATTTTTTTTTTCAAATTTGTGGGGTCCCTCCTATCCCTACCAAGCCCTTCTGGACTGATATAGATTTTGAGGGGAACCCCCCCCCCCGTGTCATTTTTTAAAAAAAATTGGTGCCAAAGATCCATACCAGACCCTTATTCGAGCATGCAGCCTGGCAGGTCAGGAAAGCGAGGGGGCAAGCAAGCGCCCCCCCTCCTGAACCATACCTGGCCACATGCTCTTAACATGGGGTTATGCTTTGAGGCAGTGGGCATTTTCCCCATGGTGATGGGGACAAGGACCTCCCCCCACAACGGTGGCTGGTGGTTGTGGGGGTCTGCGGGTGGGGGGGGTTTAAGAATCTTGGAGCCCCCTTTAACAAGGGGGCCCCCAGATCCCACCCCCACTTATGTGAATGAGTATGTGTACATGGTACCGCTACTCATTCACAAAAAAAAGCATAGTGTAAAAAACGACAGTAGACAGTCTCTGACAAGTCCTTTATTAACCGTTTCCATACCGGGCGCTTTTACCCCCTTCCTGCCCAGGCCAATTTTCAGGTTTCAGCGCTCTCACACTTTGAATGACAATTGCGTGGTTAAACAAAATTGTACCCAAACAAAAATGTTATCAATTTCTTCACACAACTAGAGCTTTCTTTTGGTGGTATTTAATCACCGCTGGGGTTTTTATTTTTTGCTAAATTAACAAAAAAAGGCCAAATACACGTTTTTTCTTTGTTTCTGTTATAAACGTTTGCAAATAAATAATTGTTCATCATAAATTTAGGCCGAGATGTATTCTACTACATGTCTTTGGTGAAAATAACACAAATTAGGATGTATTTTTTAGTTTGTAGGAAAGTTATAGAGTTCACAAACTATGGTATATATCTGAAAATTGATCAATCCTGAAGTACTGACAGCCAATCTAATTTCTTGAGGTCCAAGAATGTCAGAACAGTACAGATATCCCACAAATGACCCCTTTTTGCAGAGTAGACAGTCCGACGTACTTCATAAAGAGGCATGGCGAGTTTTTTGAAGTTGTATTTTTTTGTCATAATTTTTTGGAAAATGAATAAATGAAAAAAAAATTATTTTCACTATTTTTTTTTACATACTGTCACCAGTGCAGTACAGCGTCATCATATAACTGGCATGGCGGTGATCAGGGACAATGACTGATGACAGTATGAAAAAAAAAATATATCATTTTTTTTTACATTTTTTTAAATTTTTTTTATTATTTTAATTTTTTATTACATTTTTTTTTCTTTTTTTTTTTACGATTTTTCACTATGACCAAAGTAGTACAATGTTACCATAGTAGCATTGTACTACTTTGGGGGGAAGTGATCAGTATTTTGTTTTGTTTTTTTTTTACACAATTTGCTTATAGCAAAGAATTACTTTGCTATAAGCAAGCATTTACCTGAATGACATTGATTAATTCAGGGGTTTTTTTTTTTTTGTGCTTAGCTGTGATTTGGCCACAGCTAATCACATGACATAGCTGGGCTGTGATTAGCCCAGCTTGTGCATGTGATCGCTGTGACCAATCACAGCTAAACACACTAGTATACAATGGATGGCATGAATGAAGCCATCCATTGTATACAACTGTCATGTGACCTGCTGTGATTGGTCACAGTAGGTCACATGGTATCGGCAACAGGGCCAGTACTCAGATCTGTCATTGGCCGTGTCCAAGCTACACGGCCGGTGACAGATCAGGCCGCTGCGCGGCTCTGCAGTGTGCGCAAACTGTGCATGCCCAGGAGGACGCCATATGGTGTCCACCCAGAACGCTAATCCGGCTTCTGTGTCCTGTCCCTGTGACGTCGGGACGTACGGGCGCCGCCGCCGCCGCCCGCCACCGCCGGCGGCGGGAAATTTAAAAAAAATGTCATTTTTTTTTTTTTCATTTTACACAGTAAAACATTGCTGTTTCAACCTATTTCACATACATATTGTCCCTAGTGCTTTGTCCTGTGCCCTGCCTGCATTTTGTCTGTTCTTTCTGCCTGGAAACTGAGAAATGTCCATGGCGTCCAAAAAGTGTCCCTTTAGGTCAAAAGCGGTTTAGATCAGCTAGAGAACAGCGATAGTAAATCAGAACCACTTACAGAATTGAGTGATAATGATTCGTGGGGGAAATTCATCATCAGACACTGAAAACGATTTTGCGACTGAGCTCAGCAATGTGCGAACTTGGCGCTATATTTCAAATTTCAGTGTTTTTGGTTTGATTATATTATTGAATTAAATTTTTTATTATTTTTATATTATTTTTATGATTATTTATTAAATTATAATTTATGATTTTGTGTTTCAAATTTTATCATACCCGGGATGTTTACTAGACTCTTGTTCGGACAGATTTCAGTGAGTTTTTCCTAAAAATTACAGCCTACAATAAAAAAAATACATATTTCCATGCAAAAAAATGGTACCGCTTTCAGCACCAAAAATCTGAAATAATCATACCGCCAGGGAGGTTAAAGCAGCATTAAACCCCAAACCAAAAATGTAATATATTGCAGCTTACCAATCAGTAGAGAGTGCATTTGTTTTTTTTCCCCTCTGTTTTCACCTAGTGATCTGGCCAGTAACACCTCCACAGTAACACCACTGTATTACAGTGCCACCACTTTGGATTAAGGAGCACAGGGACACAGCAGACAGCAACATTGCTCATCTAGGGGGAGGGGAATGTTAGATGTACTAGCATATTTAAATACACTAATAAATTGAAGTCAAACTCCAGCGAACACTGCAGTTACACAAGTAGTTACACCAACAGCTTCTTTATTCTTTTGGGATAAAGGTTTTACATGCATAAATAAAAGATGATAATTTTAACACCCCTGTCAGTGATAAACAGTTTGTCACAACAGTGTTAACTGATACATTTTCAGGAGAGCTTTTGAAAAATAGCAGACTTACTGACCAGATCACCAGATGAAAATAAAGGAAAGAAAGCAAAAAAAAAAAAAAAGAAAACAAATGCAGCCATCACATCTAAGAATTGGTATGTTGCAATATAATAAATGTTTGCTTTGATACCACTTTAAATGAATATTACAGGAATCTAATGCTTAGATACCAATAACTTATCAATGAAATGTTTGTTATTGTTATTGATACCCAGAAATAATACAGCACAGATATATCAAAGTCTTTCACCCAAATGAGGATGCAGGAGAAAGCCCTACTTATTATCCTTCTAAGCATAGAAGTGACCCTTCTTCTCAGGACAGTTATTAAATTCACAGATTAACTAGTTGAAACTAAATATGCTATCCACTTTGAAAGGTTGGATTGTCTGTCACAGCTAGATGACATTAAGGGGGAGACTTACTAAAATTGGTGCACACAGAATCTGGCACAGCTATGTATAGTAACCAGTTAGCTTCTAGGTTTTATTGTCAAAGCTTAATTGAACAAGCTAAAGTTAGAAGCTGATTGGTAACCATGCAAAGCTGCGCCAGATTCTGTGTGCACCAGTTTTAGTAAATCTCCACCTAAGTGAACCGAAAAAGGAGTCCTATGGTGCCCTTAGCAATCCACTTCTGTATCCCATGCTTTATTTCAGCACAAGAGCCCCTCCTCATTCTCTGCTTATGAGAAGTGTGAATTCCTATTGTCTCTTAGTCAAAGACTGAAAAGCTGAGTTTACAGGAAAAAATGGGTTATATAGGCTGTAGAAAATTAATGTTTGTCATTGGTCTGTAAGGAGGATCTCAAATGAAAACACAGGTGCCAGTGGCACTCAGATCATCACTTTCCTATATCTGGGAATACACATGCATATTAAGGCAAAAATTTTTTAAAAACATGTTTAAACAGTTTTGACTTGCAATTTCCACTATCCAAAATGTCATTAAGAAGTGAAAGGTACAGGAAACTGTGAAGTGAGAAGAATCACTTGCTAGAACAAACCGTTTTGCTGTCAGGGGACTAATAGTGCACCAGTCTTGCACAAGTATGATCTACATAAAAAAAGTCATTAGAAATAAACCAAACTAATTACAAAATCTTCTAAAGTACCGTATTTTGTGCTCTATAAGACGCAAGACACACCTAGGTTTTAGAGGAGGAAAACAAGAAAAAAAATATTCTGAACCAATGAACTGCAGACATAGTACAGGAAATGACCAGAGACTGCGGATGTACTACAGGAGATGACCAGAGACTACAGACATACTACAGGAGATGACCAGAGACTGCGGACACAGTACAGGAGATGACCAGAGACTGCGGACATAGTACAGGAGATGACCAGAGACTGCGGACATAGTACAGGAGATGACCAGAGACTGCGGACATAGTACAGGAGATGACCAGAGACTGCGGACATAGTACAGGAAATGACCAGAGACTGCGGACATAGTACAGGAGATGGCCAGAGACTGCGGACAGTACATGAGATGACCAAGAGACTGCGGATGTAGTACAGGAAATGACCAGAGACTGCGGATGTACTACAGGAGATGACCAGAGACTACAGACATACAGTACAGGAGATGACCAGAGACTGCGGACACAGTACAGGAGATGACCAGAGACTGCGGACATAGTACAGGAGATGACCAGAGACTGCGGACATAGTACAGGAGATGACCAGAGACTGCGGACATAGTACAGGAGATGACCAGAGACTGCGGACATAGTACAGGAGATGACCAGAGACTGCGGACATAGTACAGGAAATGACCAGAGACTGCGGACATAGTACAGGAGATGGCCAGAGACTGCGGACAGTACATGAGATGACCAAGAGACTGCAGACAGTACAGGAGATGATGACCAGAGACTGTGGACATAGTACAGGAGATGACCAGAGAATGTGGACATAGTACAGGAGATGACCAGAGACTGCGGACATAGTACAGGAGATGACCCGAGACTGCAGACCCTTGGGGAGCAGGTACCCAAATTTGACAGGTACCCGCTCCCACTTCCGTTGTGATCGCCTAGGCAATCAGAAGAGGAAGTTGTCCTCCCTCCCCGTAGTCTTCTGGGATACGTGACAGGTCCCAGAAGACTACGGGGCCATTCACAAAGCGCATCACTTCTCACGCATGCGCATTGGGCACCCGGATGTGAAGCCACAAGCTGTAACAGCCAGGTGCCCACACTAAAGACGCCAGTGCCAGGGAGAAAAGACAAGGAGCATTTTGCACAGAAGAGCCGAGCAGCCCCCATTCTTTTACTAGGAGTGCAAAATTTTTCCCCATTTTTAGTGAAAATAGTGCGTCTTATGGAGATAAAATACGGTATGTAGAAGAATCTTTATATAAGACAAAGAAATTTTGAAGCAAGCCGCAGTAGTCCGGTGGAACAGACAGTGATCAATTTCTAAAGGAATGTGGTGGAAAAAAAGCATTTGAAATAAAATAAATATTTTCCAAATATTAGGCATGGATGTGAATCTGTTACAGAAGAATAGATTCTATCGTAAATACCCTGGAGACTAATCATCCACAGTCAGTTATGAAACAAGACAACAAACGTCAATTATACTGTATTCTTTGTGCTTTATTCTAGATGAAAATAAACATTTTACTGAAAAAGTGGCTGTTTAAGTTAATTTGAGTCTGTCTGTAAATTTAAACAATTGTGTAATCAAGTTTAAATTATATAACTGTTTCCTAAAGTATGCTAAAAAAAAAAAAATCAACTCACACTTCTAGTTTAATCTGGTCCACTGTGTTATGGAGGTGTCTGTTCTGCTTGCTCCCCCGCAACTTGAAAGTCTTCCAGAAAGGATCAGCATAGTCCAAGATAATACACTAAAACTTTTTTACATAATCCTTTTTTTTATTTAACTTTACAACAGCACTCTGTAGCAAACTAATCACTGATGGATAAAATGACCCTACAATTGATGTGTTTTGTTAGATGTAATTGCATACAGTTCATCAGTTGATTGTAGATATAATGTGGCATATCTAGCATATTTGAGTGGATCTTTTTTAAACATCCTGACCTGCTCTATATGAAATATTATTTTCAGTAATAATCATGAGATAAATAATAATAATGGGCAGTAAAGAAATGCAGACAGCGTAAATTATAGTAGAAAAGTGCCCCCTATATTAGTGGTCAGTGGAAACATACCCCCTTGTATTAGTGGTCAATGGGAAGAACACACTTACAGGCGAGTAAACAGTTAATTGGACCAGTGGTTACTAACCTAGAAGACTACACAGCTGGCTCTACTAAAATGAATTGATACCAGAACTATGTCAAGAAGAAGGTCAATTCATCACTGCTCAAGGAACCCCTAACATCCTCTGAGAGAAACCTTGGAGTTCCATGAAATCCCAGTTAAAAATGGCTGTTTTAATAAATATTAAATATTGATCTTGTTTAATTCAAAAGTTAAAATAGCAGAGGGGCCATTTAAACTTTCACCACACATGAAACAGTATATACACTTACCGACCACTATATGAGGTACATCTCTTCAATTACTTGGTAACACAAATTGGTAATCAGCCAATCAGCAACTCATTTACACATGCAGATTTAGACATGAAGTTCAAACTGAGTATCAAAATGGGGAAGAAAGAGGATTTAAGTGACTTTGAATGTGGCATGGTTGTTAGTGTCGGACAGGCTGGTCTGAGTTTTTAAAAAAACTGCTGACCTACTGGGATTTTCATGCACCACCATCTCTACGGTTTACAGAGAATAGTCCTAAAAGAGAAAATATCCAGTGAGCGGCAGTTGTGTGGATGAAATGCCTTGTTGATGTCAGAGGTCAGAGAAGAATGGGCAGACTGGTTGCTGCAACATTCAGATGGTAGGGTTACAATTTGGTGTAAATAACATGGAAACATGGATCCATCCTGCCTTGTATCAATGGTTCAGGCTGGTGATGGTGGTGTAATGGTGTGAGGGATATTTTCTTGGTACTAGCAAGGTGTACCTAAAGTGGCTGGTGAGTGTATATATTGTTTATAATTACTTCTCCATGAAAGTGGAACTTCACCCAAAAGGGGAAGTTCTGCTTGTTTACATTCTCCCTCCATTGCCACATTTGGCACTTTTTTGGGGGGGAGTGGGTACCTATTTTTGACGAGCAATCTGAGATGGAAGTTTGGCCCCCATTCCTACCCCCGCAGCCTTCCAGGACACTTCACAGGTCCTGGAAGACTGCGGGACCGTTCACAATGCGCAGCGTGCCTCTCGCATGCCCAGTATGAAACTGACTGTGAAGCCGCAAGGCTTCACTGCCAGTTTCCCCTACTGGAGATGCCAGTACCTGCACCCAAAGCTGATTGGAGAATCGGCTTGGGTGAGGACATTGATGGACCCCTGAACAGGTAAGTGTGCTTATATAAAAATATATATATATAAACAGTATTTGTAGCTGCTGACTTTTAATTTTTGGGAGGGAGCTTGGAGCTCCCCACTTTAATGACCTAGAAAGCAAAGGATCAGTTCGGCAGACAAAAAGCTAGGACATTCAAAAACAGATCAGCAATGGCAATAGCTGTACTTCTCTTATTACAGATTCCATTTAGTTCTATTCTAAGTTATATCTAGAATTAAATTATCAGGTCCTGTCCTATAAATTAGTTAAATTAAATAAACACATAAATCAATGCACTACAAATGCAAACCAATGAACAAAAAGATCTTTTCACAAACTATTAAAATACATGTGTTTAAGTCTGCCTATGAAAATATAGTTTCTCATAATACTTTTTCTGCAATATGTTGTTTTTTTCCTGGTTCTCCTTTTAAGTAAACTGTTGTTCCATGACTATAGAGAAAAGAAATAAATACAGCTGGAAAATGAAATGTAATTTTCAAGCCTCAGTAAATTGTACCATTTAAAATTTTCACTGCCATTAAGGAAAGCAATTTAGTGTGCTTTGTTGTAATTCTGAAATACCTATAAATGTAACATTTTATTGTCAGATAAAACTTAATTATGATGTTAACCATACAGTATTTTATATTAGGCTTTTAGGAGACATACCTTTATTTCTTGTCCTTTTATAATTTGCCAAGCAATTTTTATGTATTGTACTCGTTTTGTGAGGTTTATGGCTATTCTAAGTACCATATCTTAAAATTACTGGTGTATTCTCTTATTTTTAATATTAATTTTTTTATTTGTTATTTCTGTAAATACAATATCATAGTTGATTTGCTTTATGATTTAATACATTGTATAATTAAACTTATAAACATACTTTAAAATTACTATATTTACTGTTTTTACTTGTTTCATTTTTACTTTATGAATGTTTGTGTATTTCATTAATATGCATATTTTACATACACAACTATTCATATGTTATATTTTTTTTTGTACACCAAGAATGCGCCACTTTAGTTTTACTAAATTTGTATATTTCATTTGAGGATCATTTTTACTATAACCTTGATTATTGTTATGTGTTCTCAAATACACTTCTTTTTGCTGGGATGTTCTTGAATTGACTCAAGTGGCAAAACACATGGCAACAAATCCAAAATAAAGCATACAAGAATTTTTCCCAGTGTAGATTTTAACTGAAGCCTTTGTTGAGAAATTCTGAACCACCAGGCTACTACACTCCTGGTGGTTATGGTTCCCTTGAGTTTCTCCAACCTTGTAGAGTTAATAAACAAGACTGTATGGACATGTGAAAGTTATAGTTTGTTATGTGGGAAAAAATAAGGAAGACTCTGTTAGATTCTGGGTTATCTTGCTCTAAGGGAGCTTGTTATGGCTAAGCAATGTGACTGTCTTCTGGAAATTCACAGTCTTGGAGGTATAGAGTGTTACATAAGCTGGTTTGACTGGCATGAGGGATAAGTAAAATGTTAGTCAGCTTCTTTGCATTAATGATCAAAAGGACATACATATATCCTGAAATATAATCAGTTTATCAGCTATTTCCTGTTAAATTGCCACATATATACATTTATTAAACTTGAATTAAATTTTGACTGCCATGATGATGCTATGAGTTCTTCAACAACATCTTTTTTTTCCATAATATAATGAAAGAAGAGATTGTACTCGTACAATCAGGGAGTCTTCCAAAGGGGAATTCCAATGAGCTTTAAACAGGAGTTATTTTAGCATGGTAGCTATTCTTGTTCCATTATTTGAGTACACCTGTAATGAAAGAATTACAGGGAGCGCCATTGATGTCATCCTTCTGAAAAAAATCTTAGGTGCTTGGCTGGTATGCTGATCCTCTGGCTACAATACTTCCTCAAACAAGTATGCTGATTGGAAAAGTTAAAGTAAAGTCAGAAGTCCTTTACTGCATATTTGTTTCTGGTCAGTAACTCAAAATATTAATGAAACAAAATCTGCAAGATAGCCAGGCAACTAGCCTTTTCACAATTGATCATCAAGAGCAGCCTACGTGTTTTCTTTAACAAATCTATTAACGGGCCCTGTGGCTTGGTGAGCCTGGATTGAACGCAATTTTATTAAAACAATCCTGGGTGCTGTTGTGCAAAAATCTCTCCACTGGGAGCCCTGGATGTTGTAGGAGGCTTCAAGTAATAGTCAGCATCATTCCTAAGTAGCATTATCAATTTTGTACGATTTTACATTTTCAAGTCACAATATAGTATTAGAACTAAAGCTTGATTAATTACCTAATTACCTTGAGTATATTATATACAGTATAAAATTTGCCTCTTATTTGTCACTAACTAAGGGTCTTATTTAGAATGAATTTTGGAAGAATCATCACTAAAACACCACACACATTTTTCAGTTAGTTAAAGGTCTGCTGGGATTATCAATAAATGTATTCTGAAATTCAAATATTCCTTTACTTTCTCAGATTTTAATATAAACAAGATGTCACAAGGCTCTACATAATGTTCACTTTGTACAATCTAATACAATCTAATACTATTTGTATGGGTCTATTATAATCACTGCTCTTACCATGCCTCCAGGTTTAATACAATGATTTTAGTTTATCATTAAGTCATCATGTAACAGCTTTTCCCTTGATATGCAGGCTAACATCAATATTAGTAACATTAGGAACAAATGTTTGGAGATAATGTTTAATGAGCTCTGATATTGGAGCTGCTTGTTGAAATCTTACAGAATGTTCTTTGCGTTAACATTTTACATTTCTTATCTTGGCAGAAGGCCAGACT